TCCGTCTATTTCCACGTCTCTAAACCTGCGACCTCTCTGAATGCGGAGGAGCTCCGGCCGACGTCCTCTGAATGGATAAGCGGCGGCGGCGGCGGCTGAAAGGTGAACCGCGGCGGGCTGTCAGAGCCGCAGGACGCTCAAACTCTGGCAGATCTTCATAAGAAAGGACCATTAGTATGAGCGCAGCGGCCGCCGACCAAATTGATTTGGCCTTTTCGCTCGGCAACCTTGAGCGCCGACCTTCGCGGCTCCTGAGGGGGGGACGAGGCGTCGAGGCGGGCAGCGGAGGACGGAGACGCCAGAAGCCGAGCAGGCCGACAAAGTTTGCCGGAGGAAGCGCGACGATGCATCAGAGATCTAATCTGCGACCTTTCCCTTCCAGCGGAGGGTTGCGGGGAGCCTCCATCCGTCTCCTTCGCCCGCTTTCTTGGCTGATTTCGCCCAAACTGTCGACTCCCATCGGCTCTAATGGAACATAATAGACGAGGTAATCGGGTTTGGAGGCAGCGCCGGGACGAACGGAGGAGGAAGATGAGCGGCAGCACATAAAAAATAAAGAGGAGGAGACGCAGCAACGGCAGCCAATCGATGAGTGGTCAACTACGAAGCTAATCAATAATCAATTACACGGCTTGAGTCATTTTTTAAGAAGAAAACGCTCCAAATTCTGTGATTGCAGCGTCTTGAATGTGAATATTTTCTGGTTTCTTTGCTCCTCTGTGACTGTAAACTGAAGATCTTTGGACAAAACGAGACGTTTGTCATCTTTGATCCACATTTTTTACAATTTCCTCGCAGCAACGACCGATCGATTGATCCAGAAAATAAGCAACAGATTCATCACCAGCATAAATAATAATCAGTCCCAGCCGTGGAGACAAGCAGCAGTCAGACTCACCTCCGATTTTCAATTTTTAAAGGTCGCAAAAAACGATTGAACTAAATGATTGAACTAAACTTTTACAAGAGCTTTATTTCAACCTGCACAAGTTCAGATGAACCAGAACAAAAGTATTTAAACACGTTTTATGTAGTGAAAAATTAAAAATTAAAAACAAATTCAAAATTACAAAAAAATATGTAAAATAAAAATGAAAAATTCCATAAAATTTAAAATTTTTGTTTGTTTAGTGAGAACTACAAAAAGAAAAAGGAAAAAAAAAGAAGGAAAAATTCCACGAGGCAACAAAAATACTGGAAAATAACCATCTCATAAAAAATACTGTAAATTTTCACAATTAAAATATATTTTCTACCCCCAACTGAGATCATGTGATTTTTTGATTTTTTGGTGCTTTTTAAATTTTTTTTTTTTCTGTAAAAACTGAAAAAGTTTTTCACATTTAAGGGTTTTATTGTATTATCATGAAATTATTTGAAATTACTGTATTTTTAATCATTTGTATTTATATTTGTACTTTCGCACAATTTAAAAAAAAAAAAAAGAAAAATCCTGTAAAATAAAAAATATACTTTTTTTTAAACTTTTTGTTTAAAAATATTCACTTTTCTTTTTTTTTAACAAGAAATGTTACTTTTGAATGTTAATTTGTAAATATTTGAGAATATATTTGTAATTCTTTGTAATTCCATTTGCATAACTACTGAAAAAAACACCTGTATTCCAATCAAAGCTATAAACTCCATAAATTTGATGATTTTGTAAAAACACAAAACGAGTGTCACAAGTGTTTGTGGACACGTTTTTGACATTTTCAATATGTTTAAAGTCATTTTTGTATGTTTTTCTGTTATTTTGACCATTTTAGAGCCACACTGTGCTCCTCGGTACAACTGAGACTCCACGACTGACAAATAAATAAAATAAAGTTCTATCTAATCTAATCTAGATGTGGACAAACGTCTAATTACAGCGTGTTCTCCTTCTTCTTGTGTTGCAGCTTTTCCTTCTGACATCTTGTGTCAGGAGCTTCCAGCATCAGCATCAGCATCAGCGTCCAGGTTGTGCAACAACTCAGCCGAATATCGATGAATAACGCCGCATGTATCAGGAAGTTATTCAGATCTACACTGAGGGAGGATCCATCAGCAAAACGCCGCCTCGACCAGCTGATGAGACATTTTATCAAACGTTAGAGCAAGAAGAACCTCAAGCAGCTGACTCACCTTGACGATGTCGCCCAGCACGACGTCCTCCATCTTGTTCGGCACCTTCATCTGGAAAATCCGGCCCACCACCGCCGAGGAGTCTGGGAAGGCGGTGGGCGTCGCCGGGTTCTGCCGGGCCGCCGTCGCCGCCGCCACGTCGCCCACCTCCATCGCCCGGATCCCCTCCGTCGCCTCCTGGAACTCTCCGAGCAGCGACGAGGTCATGGAGGCCTCCAGCTCGCCGCCGCCGAGCCTGTCGTCGGCCTCCAGGAACACCATGTCGCCCAGCAGGTCCACGTCCACGTCGGCGCAGGCCGCCGCCGCCGCCAGCAGCAGCCCCAGCAGCAGCGCTCTAGTCCTGGGCAGCGCCGCCCCGAGGCGACCCCGGCTCACGTCGCCGGGCATTCTTCTGTCAGCGGTGGAAAAAAATAAAAAAGGAGGATGTCCGAGTGGTGGAGGGGAGCATGCACCCCCACGGACGGACGCAGCAAATCCTCTTTTCAAAGCTCCCTCCTGCTCCTCCTGCTGCTGGAATCTTCTTTTGTCCTTCCTCCTTTTGTGCTCAGAGCCTCATTGTGCCGAGTTGCTCTCAGATCTGCAGGAGACAGAAGGCAGCGTTACCAGCCTGGACACACTGGACCGGTTCAGAACCACAAACTAACTCACACACATCCAGCAGCAGCAGAAACATCATCTGATCGGTTCTGAGGACGATTCTGGGCCTCGTGGTTCAGCCTCGGCTGCTTTAACATCACAGATCACGTTACACTCAACGAACTACCCAGAATGAACCAAACTGTCGGATCTGATTTCAGATGATCGGTTTGTCATTTTGGGAAACATTTTGCTGATGTGAACGATGTTTGAGTCGTTCTGGACAATTCCTGTCATTTTAAACACATTTTAATCATTACAGACGTGTTTTGAGTCTTTTTCAACAGATTCTCGTCATTTTGGAGAATTTTTTGTTAATTTAAACATAGTTTGAGTCATTTTGGACAAATTTTTCATAATTAAATGTTGAACAATTTGAGCCTGTCGGAGCATATTTTTGTCTTTTCAAACAGTCTGAATCATTTTAAACAGATCCTCAGCAAAAGAAAATAAAGATCACAGGAACTTATGGTCAGGAGTTTGTGGAAATGCCACCTAGACATGATGTTTGAATCATTTTGGACAATTTTTTTTGTCATTTTAAACATATTTTAATCATTACAGACGATGTTTTGAGTCTTTTTCATCAGATTCTTGTGATTTTGAACAATTTCTGGTCATTTTGGACAATTTTTGTTAATTAAAAAGATTTTTTTTTTGTCTTTTTGGTTGATCTTTGAGTCTTTTTTTCATTTTAAACTTTTTTTTTGGTCATTTTGGACACATTTGTTGTTTCTACACATTATGTAGTCATGTTGCCATTTTAAACAAACCTGGACGTGTTTCTCTGTCATCCTGAACACATTTCTGTCTTTTTAAACCATCTTTCAGTCATTTTAGACACATCCTCGGCAAAACAAACAAAAAAAAAGATCTCAACACCATAAATTAGTCGTCAGAAACCGTGGAAATGCCACCAGTCCCTAATTCTGCCGTTTTCCTTCCACACAATGCCCGACGGCCCATATTTCTTGGTCGTGACCACCGGCTGGACAACACTTTCATGGTGCATTGTGGGACCGTTTGGGTCGCCATGTGGGCTGGAACAGTCGTAAGTTAACTTTCAGACAGAACCACAGGACGGAGAGGAAAGATTTAGAGGAGCTACGGGCCTTAACAGAACCGGAAACCAACAAAACCAGACAAAGACAACCAGGACAAGCTGCAGTCCAACAAGTAAGGACAGGACCCGTCCCCTCTACCGGGCTCCAGGCGGTTTGTGGTTCAGGTCTGAGCGACGGGGGTGATATACGGTGGGACCCGGCCCGGCCGACAATAGCTCCATGGAGCTGCTAATGAATGCAGCCTCCTGCTTTGTGAGCGAGGTCAAACCCGGAGCAGCGTAGGTGCGTCGCCGCGGACGGCCGAGTCCTCCGTTTGTTATTCATGCGGCTCTTTCATGGCGGAGAGGATCCCCGTCCCTCCTCATCCTCCCCCCGCCGCAACACAAATGATTCCCCCCCTCCAGGGCTTTCGTTAGCGAGAAAAGAAAGCCGAGGAGGAGAAAGGAGAGGGGGAGCGGAGGGGAGGCCCCCCGCCGAGCCTCCACTTTGGCCCGGAGCAGGCGCCCGCCGGAGAAAGTGAAATCACCGCAGGACTTCCCCGGCAACAACAACAGCCGGCCTCCCAGGTAGCCGTTCAGCAGCTCCAAAGGCGCCTTTGTTGTTGCCGCTCGCCCTCGCCGAGCTTCAACCTTTTGGACAAAACTTTGTTTTTAATCGCGCTGCAGTTTCCCTGCTGGTGCAGCTTTTATCCACAGAGTCGACTACAGCAGCAGCAGGAGGAGGACGGGGGCAGAAAAACACCTTCCTGCCCGACTGGAGCAGAAGTCATTGTCCCTGAAAGGTAGGAACCCCAGTGCATCATGGGACAGCTGCTTTCTGCTGCTAATACAGAAAGAAACGGGTTTTAAAATCGCAAGATACCAGCATGTTGTAGTTTCTTAAAAGCAGCATGTGTGAGCTTATTTTTAACTTTATTTAACAGCTCAGGAGCTCGTTGACCTGAAGCTTCCACACGAGCAGCAAAATGAGCCAAAATCCAGCAGATCTGGGTTGAACAAATAAAATAAAATAAAATAAAATAAAATAAAATAAATCCGTCGTATGGAAATATTTCAGCTACAAACAGGTTTCCTTTCATCGCTTTCTGGCCACAAGTTGCCAAAACTCTGTGTAACGAGTGTAAAGACACACCTGACAGCAAATATACTGATTCTTTTTTCTATTTTTAGCTTTTCTACAGTCATTTTTGACGTTTTATGCAGATAAACAGCCTGATAAAACCACCTCAATCACTGCAGGAGGACGAATTCTTCCCAACCAGCGGTGAGAATCCCGGTTTTCTTTCCTATTGCAGAACAACAGAATACTGCAATGCTATTTTCTTTCTTTTGTTTACAGCGTTTGGAGCCTTACATGGTCGACTAAAGCTTATAGTCCAAAGGAGGAAGGAAATAAAAGTCGTCATGCTCAGACGGGTATCACTGGATCACCTCTAAACCTCCTCAGAGGCTTCTGGAGACGATAACGAATCGCGTTCATCTTGCTTTCGGCGATTCATCACGTGTATGAAAACAAAACCAACTGACTGCAGCAACAAGAGATTCATCAACAGTGGAAATGATCGGTGTTCGCGGTCGTATCTTAACAAGAACGACAAAAAACTGAGAATTTCGTAGTATAACGAGCGACGGTGAAACTTGATTTTACTCATTTTTGAATTAAAATCCTCTAAATTAAAAAAAAAAACAACAAAAAAACACTAAAACAAAACCGTTACTCAGCCAGAAACTGTAAGAAAAAATAGATTTTTAACTTTTGGATGCACCAAGAAGAACTTCTTTATTAGATTAATGTGACTTTATTTAGTTTATGTGGTTATTTTAAGGTCCTAAAGGTTCCTTTTTGCTTTTTTTTAATTGGATTTTCAGGCGTGAAACATTAAATTTGTGACTGAAATAAAATATGTGACAAAAGAAATATAAATGTTTGTTAAAAATTGAAACGATGCGTCGAGGAAGCTGCTATGAAATGAGTTAAGTTGTCGTATTTGTAACATCCAGACGTGAATCCATCGTCGTCTTTGTCATCCCGTCTTTATCTTTGTCCTCCTGTAGCTGCTGTAAACGTCCCAGTAAGTTCATCTCCTGTCAGCTGCAGGGAACTTTTGTTTGTGGAGCTTTTACTGAAAGTCAAGACTTTTCCGTTTGCAAAGTTTCGAACGGGCCTCTGAAAGTAGTCCAAGATGGCCGCCGCCTCCTTTCAAGTCGGATGCCTTCAACGGCGTCGCCCGCGGCAACCCTCCTCCTCGTCGCCTCTCCTCTGTTGTTCCATCTGTCGCCTGCCTCTCTTTTTTGTGGTTTCACCTCCAGAGGTTTCCAGGTACACCTCCCCTCACATCTCCAAAAGAAACCCCTTCAAGGCCTCCCGTTTGTTTTCAGCTCGTCTATTCACGGCGGGACAATGAGGCGAGGGCGGCGGGGGAGGGGGAGGGCGGCCGGGTGAAGAGACGCCGTCAAAGCCTCCGAGTGAAGCGACGCTGTCGGACGAGGAGGCCAAGAGTCTTCCACTTGTAGCGCCGCTACGACCCGAGGCACAGCGAACGCCTCTCCGGACAGACTCCGCCCACCAGAACAAGGAACAAACCTCAAACGCACCTCGAAATGAATAAAGTTCAGCAACGAGTCTGACGATCGATTAGTCAGAGAAGTTTTTAAAGAAGAAAAAGTCTGAAAAAAGTCTCGATCAGGACCTTAGAGACAGAAAAGAGACAATCTGCCTCCAGAACATTCGACATTTTCCACCAGTTCTGATCATAACCACCAAATATTTCATCATTTTCAGGATTTTAATGATGCTTCTGGATGTTTTTGGTTCCACTAATCTGAAAGAAGATGTGATTCAAGCAAAAATATCTTAAAATTGGCACGTGCGAGAATAAAAACTAATTTTCTGTTTAATATTTCTTTGATTGTCACGGTCAGAAAATGTTAATGATTAAAAAAAACATAGATTCTGATGCATTATTTTATTTTATTTTTTGATTATTAGGGTTTTTATTTATTTAACTCAGGATCTAAAAGACAGAAATGTCAGCGTCAGACGATTTGCCTCCAGAACGTTCGACATTTTCCACTTTAACTAAATAAATCCTCTTAAATCACCACCAGCTAACAAATATTTAATCATTTTCTAATTCTGATGAGTTGCATTGACGCAAAGTTTCCGGTAACTGAATGAACTCGACGTTATTATAATTTTAATTTTAATTTTTGTGTTGATTTGAAACTGAAGTCAAGTTGAGATAACTTAATTAAATTAGCTTGATAACTTAGTTTTTCCTCTTTTACCTGAGCGTCAGACCGACAGTTGATTAAAAAATAGAGCTTTCAAGTTAAAACGTCATTTTTGATGAGTCGTGTTGACAAAATGTTGCCTCAACTTAACATNCCACCATCAGATGTAGAAAGATGTTCCACCATCATGTAGAAAGATGTTCCACCATCAGATGTATCTCCAACAACTGGCTCCTCTGTTCTCTGGTTCTGATCCATATTATTGATCCAGTAGGTTTTATTTTCTAAATGTGTTATTTTTGTCGCTATGTGTCCAACTTTTCTTGTATTTGTCATTTTTTTTGGCCTCATTTGTGCTGTTTTGTGTCTTATTTGCACAGATTTGTCTCATTTATGGAGGTTTGTGTCCAGTTTTTGTCGTCTTATGTCCCACTTATGCTCTTTTGTGTCTCTTTTGGTCTCTGTGATGGTTTCGTCTCCTCTTCCTGCAGATATCGAACCATCACGTTGGGTTTAAACACCGATATCCGTTTTGTTTCGTCCAGAAAGCTGTCGTGTGATGAGCATGTTTCCAAAAGTCTTAAAAAAATATCCCAAAGATGAGCTGAAGTTTTGTTTTTCATCACTTTTTCCTGACAGAAGCG